GGCTTTATATCTCAGCAAGACCTTCACCTTGGAAAGGTTTTAATTCACTTGCTCCCAGTTTTAGACAATCAGCTGTGGTGCCATTTCTTTGGACCTGGAGGCTGCTCAGCTTGGCTGATCTGAGCTTTCCTTTTCTGGGACCCTGAGGACCTACAGAGATGGCTGGGTGGGGTCAACTCAGTCCAGGAAGCTCAGGAATTCTTTTAAGTGTATGTGTCTGGGGTATTTTTCTCTCTCACTTACGTGTATTTTTAAAAATTCTTTTTAGACACCCGCTTTATCTTTCCCAAACATCATTTCCTTGCTCCTTTCCTGAGTTCTAGCAGTGGCTGGGGGCCCAGCTTCCTTATTGGCCTCTGAGCTGTGGAGGGGGTGGGCCAGGGCTCAGAAGAGGTGGGAGTCGGGAACAGGGGGCCTGTTTATGCTGTTGGAACTGCCTTTCATCCTTCCCTTTGCCACCAGGGTTCCTGGCTAGTTCCTGGAGCACTGTCTTCACTCCTATCTAGCTCTTCATACTGCCTTTCGTTCCCTAAGGCTGTGGTCACTTTGAAGCCCAACTAGGCCGATGACCACACATTGCCTTCAGTGCTACTCCTTCCTGTTCTTGCAACTGGGACCTGACTGTGTCTGAGCCCCTTGGACCACACTCAGGAACTTGGGCTGATGGCTCCCCATCCCAGGAGGTCTTAACTGGAAGGCAGATGGGTCCCAGTTAAGGAAGGGACGCCGGCTGCGGGGTTTGTCGTTGAGAGTCTGAGCTAGCTGGATACCTCATTCTCTCCTAAGCCATCTCTCCGCTCTGGGCAACTTCATGGTAGGTACAGCCTATAGCCATGGCTGCCAAGGCCGCCACCCCTCTTCTCTTCTGCTTTCTTTCTTTAATGCCCTTTTCTTTTTGCCTCCTTAAGAAAGGTGTTTTGGTGTAATGAATGATAGAGTGTGTGTTCAATGCTAGTGCCTGAGCCAGCCTTAGGGGAAAGTGTAAGTGCTAGGTCATTGCCCCCATGTGTAGGTCTGGGCTGCATGGTGGGTGGTTGGAATTGTCTTACCTCTCTGCTCATTTCTCATGATCCCCCCTTCCCCACTGCCCAGGAGGGGTGGTTTCCAGTCTAGGACTACTGAGACGTCCCTTTTCTGACTGCTTCTTGAGGGAATGGTTTGGGGCATCCAAGCTTTCTTAGTCAGACCCCTTTGCGGAGGAGGGGTTGTGTGGTATCTTAGTAGGAACTAGGGGATCTGAGTCTTGATCCCAATTCATCTGGTTACAAGCTCTGTGCTCTTGGCAAATCACTTCAGTTTTATGCATCTCTGTTTCTTCATCTGTTAAATGGGGTAATCATAGTTCTTACCATATAAGGCTAGCATGAGGAATAATCCAGCTAATGTCTTTGTTGTTCCTAGTGCCTGGTACATCATAACTGTTCAGTAAATGACCTCTGCGAGTTTTTTTAAGTTTATAAAATATCTATGTCAGGTACTGATTTCATACCCAGAACTGCAATTAATTCAGACCATAACTCATAAGAAGGAGATGGTCACTTTCCCCATTTTAGGGATAAAGAATCTGTCACTCAGGGACTGGGGTTGTGACTCAATGGTAGAGCACTTGCCTGGCATGTGTGAGGCACTGGGTTTGATTCTCAGCACCACATATAAATAAATAAAATAAAGGTCCATTGACAACTGAAAATATATATAAAAAGAATATCACTCAAGTGGTTAAGGATATGACTTGGGGGTAAAGTGTTTGCGTAGCATGCATGAGGTCCTGGCTGCACTCCTAGCATCCCCTCCCTCAAAAAGAAGAATCTGCACCTCAGAGAAATGACTTGTCCAAGGTCACATAGCTAGGATTTGAATATAAGCATGGACTAATTCTAAGCCTAGTCAAATCGGGAATAATAAGCCAAAACCTGACAAAGTTTTCTCTCCTCTCCTAAACTAGGGTTAGAAGGCTCCAATTCCCTCTGTTAGAATTTTCCTTCTCTGAGCTGTTCATTTTCTCCTAGTATCTCCAAAGCCCCTACTATTCCTACTTCTGAAGAAATCCCAAGGCTCCTTTTGTAAGCTACCTTTCAAAGTGTGGCAAGGGAGTGTCATAGCAAAAACTTAGTAGATGATTAAATCGAGGTGCCCTTTGTGGGTGTTCTCTTGAGCTACCAAACAGGACAAGTTTGAGCTAATAACCATTATTATAGTACCTAGTAGTTACTGACCATTTGCTATGGACCAGGCTGTTTCCCATTTGCTTGGAGAATACTCTCTCTAATCTCTCCAGTCACCTATCCAGGTAAGAACTATTTTTCCCTTTCTTAGATCAGAGAACTAAAGCTCAGATGATTCAAGTGATTCACATAGAATCACACATCTCAAATTCTAGAGGTAGGATTTGAATCTAGATCCTTCTCACTTGTTTTTGTCTCCTTGCCTACTAGCTAGATTACTCAGGACAAGCTCCCAGGAAGACATGGCACTTGAGCAGTACCTTGAAGAACAGGTAGGATTTAGGTTAACAAAAAGGAGGGGACACTCTAGGCAGGGGAACGGTCATAGTGATAACTATTATTGTTTGAAGGGCTGGCCAGACCCAGTTCTAAGCACTTGACATACATTTTCTTACTTGATCTTTCAACAACCCCAGCAGGTAGATACTTGTATTTCTACTTTACTGCCAAGTAAACAAGGATTCTGAGAAGTGAAGAAACTTGCCTAATGCCTCAGAAGCTAATCAGTTGGGATTCAAATCAAGGTGGTCCAACTCCTGAATCTGTACTAGATTTTACTAGAAATTTAACATTAAAGGCACAGAGTCAGAAAGGGTGAAGCTGGATACATGGTGTGATTGGAGCAGACATGAAAGGTTGAGCTGGGTGAGTAAAATAGCCTTTGAAAAACTAGTCCAGTTTAAATGTGAGGCAGGACAGTGTAGGAAATAGGGAGCCAGGGAAGATTCTTGAGTAGGAGACTGCCCTTGATTCAGTTGGTGTTCAGTGTAGTATGATCATAAAGCAGCGACCAGAGGTGGAACACGAAGAGACTGGCTGGCAAGCGGATGCAGTAGTTTGAACACAAAATCCTAAGGGCCTGAACTGGAACAGGATGTGGTGGTGGTGGATTCTGGAAGGAGTGGTGCAATTCTGTGTAAGGGTCATAGTGAGAATGGAGAGGGAGAAGGAGGGGGGAGGGGAGGGGCATTAGAGATACATCATAAAAGAAGACACAGTAGAACTCAGTACGAGGGGTGGACAGTTAGGGAAAAGGAGGTAGGCACATATCCTGGACCCAGAGAAATTTCAGGAATCTAGGATGTGGAAAAAGGGCCCCAAATGGGACAGGTACCCTGGCCAGTACAGCCTTAGTATCTACAAGCATAGCCCAGAGACCTAGTAGTACACAGGAACATTACTGGGAGATGCTTGATGAATTTTTATTGACCATCTGACTACAGGATAGTCAAGGTCACTGCTGCTGACCGGTGGCTCTCATCTTTGTTAACCAACTTTCTCTGCCCTTCCTCCTGTACCACCTTCTCTGTGTCTGGCCTGTTAGCACTCAAACCATGTACCCCCAGTAAGCCCATGCTCCCAGGACTACCTCTCCAGGCCTTAGCCTTACACTACTTGGATCTTCTGTTTTTCTGCTGTGGGGAGGGACATTTCTAGCTAGGTTGCAATCTTCCACTGCCCTATAAAGTAGAGAGCTGATTTATCCCACTCTATAACAAAGTTGATGAAAACAGGAACATATATCTTATTTAAATCTGTACCATGAGTGCCTTATATGGAGCCCAGCACAGTGAATGTGAATAAATTAGTAAATAATGAGTTAATAACTTATCAAATAATCTATCATCCTCCCCCTCTCTCTGGTACCTCCTTATTTAACACCTGGTTCTCTTTGTAGTATTCTCTCTACTATGTATTTCTCTATATTCTTTCTCAGAGTTTTCTCCTTTTCTGACATTTGGTTTTCCCCTCTCTCCCCCTTATCTGAAGTATCTTCCTGACCCTTGCTCTATCATTTACTCTTGTGGACTGTCTGTCTGTCTGTCTCAGCATTCACACCCCACATATTTTCTTCCCCACTTTCAAGAATGGCATCTATTCATGTGAAGTATGCCAGGAGACAGGGACAGGTCCTGAATAAGCCAGTCAGTGCGAGATTTGTGGCTGTAGCCTCAGGTACCTGGCAAACCCCAGGCTGCACCTGGGGCCTTCGCCTCAGACCTGTTTTCCTTTATTCACTCCTGACAGCTGGGTAGCCAGTCTCCTCTGCCAGCCTAGTGCTGTGCTGTTCACCACTTTGTCCTCCATCCCCTGGCAGGAGTTGGGATTCCCTGCCACCACTTTCCCTACAAATTCAAGTGTCTCAGCTCCATGCACATCTCATCTTTCACTCTCTCAGTGTCTTTACCATGCTTTATTTGACTGAGGTCTGTGTCTCTCACAAATCTATAAGTTCTCAAGGATAAAGAGAACTTTTGTTCATATCTGTACCCTTAGAGCAACATACATGCCACACAGTAAGTAAACATGCAACAGGGCTTATTAAATGAATCAGTAAAAATTAAAAATTAAAAATCAGATCTCAGTCACTTGACTCTTCCTTTCTCAGAGAAAAAGGGAAAGATTGGCCAGATTGATGTTTCCCCTCAAAAAGAAGTGGAGTTTGGCTCACTGTTCATTGGTCACTGGCTCTCATTTAGTCCACAAGTATTTATTGAGCATCTACTATATGCCCAGTGCTATGAGACACACTTAGGATATTCCTATGAAGAAAACAGCCCTGTGAAGCTGCCATGCTGTTTCTCCAGGGATCACTCACTGGATAAAGGAGATTTCAGTACTGGGGGCTGAGACGGGCCACTCAGATTCCCACACCAGCTCCTTGCAAGATGTTCTACCTCGCTGAAGGGAAAGAGGGGGTGGGGCGAAAGCTGCCTGGGAAGTGATTTCAGCCCTGGTTCCCTTAGCCAACTTCCTGTCCCTTTCTCACTGCAGGAGAAACGCCCCTGTCAGTAGGCCGCACTCATGGCATGTGGCCAAGCTGCTGGAGGGATGCCCTGAAGCGGCCACCACCATGCATTTCCCTTCTGAAGCCTTCAGCTTGTCCTGGCATTCTGGTTGCAGTACAAGGTGAGTCTAGAGCCCTCCCCTCAAGGTGAACTGGAGTGTGGACAGCCTGGCCACTCCCCCTCCTTTGACCTGGTCCCTCTTGGATGTTTTAGAACTAAGAGCGGTAAAATGGGAAATGGCATGGGAGTCCAGAATACCTGGCTTCTTTTCCCAGTGTTCTGCTAAGTCTCTGTGGCTTTGGGCTCTCCCTTTCCTTCTGGACAGTGTTTCCTTGAAATGCCTCATTTGGCTTGGGAGACACCACATTGTCCTGCTTCTCACCCTATTCACTAGCTGCACTTTCTCAGTCCGTCTCTCTGATTCCTTCCATCCCCCTGCTCTCTTAATGTAGAAGGACCCCACAGTTCTGTTCTGGTGGTCTTCTCTATCTATGATGATGCACTGGGGCTTCCACCCAGTCCATCAGCTGATCATGGGGCCAAAGTCTCCAAAACAGGGACCTCCCTGATAACAGGGCCTACCTGCCTGGAATATCACTCAATACAGGCACCTCAATGTTATCTATTGTTATTGAAACAGCTGCTCAGGACACAGCCAACTTTTTGACCAGCTCAGAGCCAAAGTGTTGCTTTCAACTACTTCTTCCTTTCTGCAACTAAATCTTCCCTCCAAAAAAGAATTTCTGTTGAGGAGGCTCAGAGAAACTAACAGTTTTCCCTGATTCAGTGACTTTATTTGGCATTGGAAGTCAGGGGCTCAGGGCAGAGGCAGGTTTGTTCTAGAATATACCGAAACATATTCTGAGCTTGGCTCCTGTTGAAGTAGGGGTGTGGTTTTGTTCAGCAGGAAGGGTGGTTTAGTGGGCAGCAAGTTCTCTTGCCAACAAGGAATTGATGGATTCCTAGCCCAGAGTACAAGTGAGCAGAGTGACTAAGGGGCAAGGCAGAAAGCAAGAATTAAGAGACACTGACGGAGGCTCTCATGTGCTGCTGCTCAGCTGTGGCTTTCTGGGCAACAGCATTTCTGATATCAGCCTGCAATCCCTGGGTTCTAGTCAAAGGAGTTACTGGCATGACTTGGCTCTGTTTGGCTAAGTGTTTGGGAAATGGCACTTAAAATTCAAGATCGTGTCTGCTCCTTGATCCCCCTGGTTTGGCTCTGCTGTAAGGGATGAGGGAGTAATGTTTGGGCAGAGGCCACCATGGTATCAATACTGGTAGTAAAGAGGATGCTGATAATAATAACAACAATTGAGACAGTCACTGCCTTGTAGCAAACCCTTGCTAGGCACCTGAGCTGTATTTTTTATCTGATTTCTTCTATACAGCAACCCACTGATATAGATATTACTCTTATTCCTGTCTAAAAGAGATTATCAGAGAAGATCTCAGACATTGAATTCATAGAGGCCTGCATTCAAATTGCAGCTCTGATTCTTTAAGAGCTTAGTGAACCTCTCTAAGCTTCTGCATTCTCAGTTGTAAAGCAGAGGATAGCAATCTCTTCCATTGGGATTAAATGGACTATTGTAAAGTACCTGGCATATTGTAAGTCCTCAGAAAAGAATGGAGTAGGGCTGTCATTATAGCTTGGTGATAGAGTACTTGCCTAGCATGTGCTAGGCCCTGGGTTTCATCCTTAGCACCTAATAAATAATAATAATAATAATAATAATAATAATAATAATAATAATAAATAATAATAATAATTGTAGAATAGGGGAATGCCTAATTCCTCCCTGTCTATACCACTAGTTAGAGCTAGGTGATCCTGGCAAAATCACCTCCTCAATAGTACTTTCTTTTGCAGGGCTTGCTTTATAGACATCAGTGGTTCTCAAAAGCATAGGTCTTATACAGCAGCACCTGAGAAATTCTTAGCTCAGAATCCAGCCAGACCTAAAACTCAAGGATGAAGCCCAGTGGCTGGTGTGGTAATAATACCCACCAGGTGATGCTGGTACACATTCAAGTTTGAGAACTGCTGATTTATGAAATGGTCTGACTGAAATTGAATCAGCCCTTTAGGGCCCTTTTTTAATGCTAATATTCCATGAGTGTGTCTCCTGGCAGAGAGCCATATACTGATTCCACAGGGACAGGGACAGCCCAGAAGCAACTCCAAACTTACTCATGGCAAAGAAATAGTGCATAGCCCCCATGTTTTTCTCCCGCTTTTAATCTTAAGGATGTTTGCTCATCTTTCTTCTATATGTCATTTTGTCCCCCCAGTTTACCATGTCCCTATGGCACTCCACTATCCATGTTCTTCTGCATTTCACTTTTTGCCTTATCGCCCTTTCATTTGTGACATGGGTAGCTCTGGGATGCCTGCCTTCTTCAATGTCAGGGCTGGCCAAGGTGGGAAAGGGATCTGGTGGCTCGGCTAACTAACCAGTGTACCCTGTGTCTTACAGTGACGTGTGTGTGCAGTGGTGTCCCCTCTCCCGGCACTGTAGCACCGAGAAAAGCAGCTCTATTGGCAGCATGGAGAGCCTGGAGCAACCAGGCCAAGCCACCTATGAGGGCCACCTCTTGCCCATTGACCAGAACATGTACCCCAATCAACGGGACTCAGCCTATAGCTCCTTCTCGGCCAGCTCAAATGCATCTGACTGTGCTCTTTCCCTCAGGCCAGAGGAGCCAACCTCCACAGACTGCATCACACAAGGCCCAGGGCCAAGTAAAGTCCCTAATGTCCGGCCTAATGTGGCTGAAACCTCAGGAGGTAGCCAGCGCACCAACGGGGGCCATTTGACGTCATCTCGCTCACAGGAAGGCCACCACCCAGGGTCTGCCAAGGGGGTCAGGGGCCCACCACAACCTCCAGTGAGGCGGGACAGTCTTCAGGCCTCCAGAGCCCAACTCCTCAATGGAGAGCAGAGCAGGGCTTCTGAGCCTGTGGACTCCTTGCAACAGAAGGAGAAAGTGAATTTAGAGACAATGATGATTCCCAGGAACCCTAACAGGTTCTGCTGCCTCAGTGGACAAGAGCAAATGACAAAGGAGGGCCATCAGAACTGTGAACTCAGCCAGTCTCCCGAAGCCAGCCAGCAGGGCTCTGAACATCTACTGACAGAGGCTGCAGCCAATGTTCTTGGTTCCCCTAAAGCCTGTGAGAAAGCTTCCACCAGAGTTTCTAGCCCACTCAGTGAGGCTTCAGCAGAGCTACCTAAGACTTCCTCCTTTGGCCGCTTTCCACACCTCACAGGACCTACAGGGCATCGCCACAGTGCCCCTGAACAGCTGCTGGCATCCCACCTGCAGCATGTGCACCTCGATTCCAGGGACAGCAAAGGGACAGAGCTTCCCACTGGGCAGGATGGACACCAGTGGACTTTGTCCCCTTTGCACAACAGCCGCAAAGGGAAGAAAATTCCATGTTCCCCTCCAGGAGGAACCCAGGACCAGCCCAGCAAAGAAAGAAAGACCAAGCCAATGGAAGATAGGCCTTTGGGTTCAGGACACCAGAGCCAAAGCAGTTCTACACATGGAGAGACTGATGGACACCCTCCAGAACAAGGTTTCCTAGACCCAAGCAGAGCAAGCAAAGCAGGCAGTGAATTGGCCAGCCAGCAGCCCTCTGCCTCTGGCTCTCTCGTTCAAACCAGAGATTGTTCTTCAAGTGCTAAAGTAGCTAGCAGCAAAGAGACAACTGAAGAAGGGGATAGTGAGCCCAAAGAATGTGGCCGGGTGGGCGGTAGGCGAAGTGGAGGTTCCCGGGGTCGTTCAATCCAAAATCGGCGGAAAAGTGAGCGCTTCGCTACCAATCTGCGCAATGAAATTCAGAGGAGGAAGGCCCAGCTCCAGAAGAGCAAAGGCCCCTTGTCACAGCTGTGTGACACTAAGGAGCAAGTGGAAGAGACCCAGGAGCCTCCCGAAAGTCCTCCACTCCCTGCCTCTAACTCAGCTCTTCTATCTTCATATAAAAAACCCCCTAGCCCCAGAGATAAGCTCTTCAACAAAAGCATGATACTCAGGGCTCGGTCTTCAGAGTGCCTCAGCCAAGCTCCTGAGAGCCACGAATCTAGGCTAGGCCCAGAGGGACAAAAAAGCCCTGGCCAGAGGTCTGGCCAGTCCTCTTTGGGCCTAAACTCCTGGTGGAAAGCCTCTGACACATCCTCAGACTCTGAGAAAGCAAATGCTCATCATGGAGTCCGTGGAGGTCATTGGAGATGGTCTCCAGAGCATAACCTGCAGCCACATGTGGCACTAGCCATGGAAGGCCCTTCCAGCCCAGGTGACAACAAGGAATTGAAGACTTCTCCTGTCCAAGCTGGGGAGGAAGCCATCCTTTTGCCCTTTGCAGACAGAAGAAGGTTCTTTGAAGAGAGCAGCAAATCCTTATCCACATCTCATTTGCCAGGTTTAACCACTCAGAGCAACAAGTCTTTTAGCCAGAGACCAAAACCTATAGACCCCAACTTTCAGTCAATGAGCTCCAGCTATCGGGAATTGAGGCGCCATCCCATGGACCAGTCATATCACTCCACAGACCAACCGTATCATGCCACAGACCAACCATTTCATTCCATATCACCCCTTCAGTCAGAAACTCCTACTTACTCAGAATGCTTTTCAAGCAAAGGTCTAGAAAATTCCATGTGTTGTAAGCCACTGCACTGTGGTGATTTTGATTACCACAGGACCTGCTCTTACTCCTGCAGTGTTCAGGGAGCTGTGGTCCATGACCCTTGCATTTATTGTTCTGGGGAAATCTGTCCTGCCTTGCTAAAGAGAAATATGATGTCCAACTGCTACAACTGCAGGTGCCACCACCACCAGTGTATCCGGTGTTCAGCTTGCTATCATAATCCTCAGCACAGTACTCTTGAGGACAGCAGCTTGGCACCTGGCAACGCTTGGAATTCCAGGAAGCCACCAGTGCAGGTGAGGACCTGGTTTTAGAGTGGGTGAACTTCATTATTGTCTGTGTGAAGAGGAAACTAGAACCTTTTGAAAATATGATAGTTGTAATTCCTGGTAATGAGATAGCCGTTGTTTCCACCAGATGGTTGTTTAGTAACCTTGAGCAAGACCCTTAGCCACCAACATCTTAACACACCTGCTCATCTTGAGAGTTAGATACAGTAACTTTTGGTTCACAGATGAATAGGACTGGGATTCTATCCTGTGAAATTGGAATCTGGATGACCTTAAGTGAGTCATTCAGCTACCACAATTTGAAGTTTCATATTATTATTATTATTATTATTATTATTATTATTATTATTATGTACCATGGGTCACACCTAGGGGTGCTTAACCACTGAGTCACATCCCCAGCCTTTTTAAATTTTTTTATTTTGAGACAGGGTCTTGCCAACTGCTCAAGCCTCACTAATTTGCTGAGGCTGGTCTTAAACCTGTTATCCCCTTGCCTCAGCCTTCTGAGCCACTGGGATTACAGGTGTGCACCACAGAACCTGGCTAAGTTTCATGATTTGTTTTAAAGGGGAAAATAATGTTTATTTCCAGTAGTAAGAAAAGTCTTATCACCTCATCTCCAATGTAGAAGAAAATCATGGCTGCCTCATGGATCCATTTTGAGGAGAACCCAAGAGCAGTTTATAGAGTGCTAGGCCCACAGCATGATACAGAGCAGCACTAACTGCCTTTAATTTCCTATTTTAAAATTATTTGATGCTGCAAAATTGGAGACCCAGGTCCAAACTGTGTCCATTGGAGACCCATGTCTAAACTGGCTGCTGTTCTGCCTTGGTCATGACCTGTCACCCTAACACAAGACCTTACCATCCCCCAGGGTTCTTCTGGGAGGACCTCCTAAGTCCTTACCCACCCACTCTCTGCCAGATTCCTTCCCCCATGACATCCTTAGTGACACATTTTGGCTGTTAAACCAGAAGTCCATTCCTGTGTCAAATTGTTGTTCATAGCAGATCTTTGAATTTACTTTTAATGTTTGAAAATGCTTAATATGTATTATTTGAAAAAAGGAACTTCAGGAAAGAAAGAAGCCTTATAAAAAAGAGTACAGACCCTACAATTTCTTTTATATGAAGTTCTCTGATAGCTGTTCCTAAGGGGAAAATTTCATAGCAGGGCTTAGAAATGGGATATGGCTCAGCAATGGGCTGGAAAAGGGTATGGGAACATGTTCCTAGATAAAGTTTAGAGTTACACAGGTGTATTCACCAAAACTCAAAAAATGTACACTTAATATCTGTGCCTGTCATGGGAAGTAAGTTTTACCTAAAAATATTATAAGTGACTATCAAACTTTAATAAGTATGCTGAAGTGCTTTTGAAGTATAGTGATATATACAAGTCTTTTTTATAGCTTTGAAATCTTAGATATTTTGTTATACCTGTCCCTAAGATGTCATGGTTTCGATGCTACTGTAAACAGTATTGCTTTATTCATGTTGATTGAAAATTCTTTGTCACTACCCTATAGAAATACAATTATTGGTCTTGTGTCCTGCAACCTTGCCAAAGTCACTGATTAATTGTAGTTGCTTTTTGGTATGTTATAAAATATTTTGTACATAAGCAATCATGTTATCTGTGAATGGAAAGAATGTTATATCGTCCTTTCCAGCGTATGCCCTTTCATGGGGGGGAAGGGAGCCTTATTGCACTGTCAAGACCTCCAATGCAGTATTTAGAGGAAGTGGCTAGGGCAGACATTGTTGCTTTGTTTTTAATCTTTCATTGTTAAGTTTAATGTTAGTTATATGCTTTTGTTGTAGATACCTTTATCAGGTTGAGGAAATACCCTCTGATTCTTGGTTTCAGAGGGTCTTTATTAGGAGCAGATGTTGGATATTTTTCAAATGCTTTTTCTGTATCTATTGAGATGACCATATATTTTTTCCTGTTTTGTATACTGGTATGGGTGAATTATGTTGATTGGTTTTTAAAATAGGAACTAATGTAGCATTGCCAGGATAAAATCCACTTGGTCATGATGTAGTATCCTTTTTATATGTCACTAGATTTGATTTGTAGGTATTTTGTTAAAGATTTTTCTGTGTTTATCAGGGATTTTAGACTGATAAACCTTTGTCTGGTCTCTGTATCAAAGTAATGCTGGCCTTAAAGAATGAGCTGGGTAGTATTATCTTCCCTTATATTTTCAGAAAGAGTTCATATAAAATTGGTATTATTTCTTCCAGAAATGTCTGGTAGAATTCATCATCAAAGCCATCAGGGCCTGGTGTTGTCTTTGTGGGAAGGTTTTAAGTGACAAATTTAATTTCCTTCACGGATAGAATAGGATCAATTAGGTTGTTTATTTCTTCTTCAGTGTGCTTTGGTAGTTTGTGGCTTTTAAGGAGTGTGTCCATTTCATTTAAGTTTTCAAATTTGGGCGGAATGAAATCGTTGTAACTTACTTTGAAATGTATCAAGAATTTAAGATGGACTGGTGGATGGATAGAAGAATAAACAGATACAATAAGGCAATTGTAGCAAAATGCTAATTGGAAAATCGAAATGATGAGCATATGGGTGCTTGCTATACACTATAAACTCCTTTCAACTTTTCAAAATATTCACAATGTTGAAAAAAAGGAGAAGAGGAACTAGAAGGGTCCTGAAGCTAGAACCAGATTTCCTGGATTCAAATTCCCTCCCCAGAATTCACAGTGCCTAAATATTCCCATCTCAAAATGGAGTCCATAGCAGCATCTACTTCAGAAGTTGGTGGTGAGGATTAAATGATGTCATGTGTGTAAGGCATTTAGAACAGTGACTGCCAGACAGTGATTAACTTATAAGGCAGCTATTAAGGTAAAGAGAGAGTTTGGATTAGCTTGAGAGATTTTGGCTAAAAGAAGGACTCACAAGTTGATGATAGAGAAAAGGGGCCAAAGACAAGCAGGAAGTGAGGAGATGGTGGCTGTAGAGATGTCAGCTCAAGGCCAGCAACTGTTTAAGGAAAGGAGGTGTAATTGGCAGGTGCAGAATTGGCAGCAGCAATGTAGGTGAGCCTGTGCCTATACCATGCTTTTCCTTTTGTCCTTGGAGGGAGGGACACATTGGGTTTCTAGTGCCTGTTAGACTGGTCAAGCAGGTCTGCTTAGACATTAGCCTTTCAAACACATGGTTGGCTATCTAGGAGTTACTCTGTGCCTATTTCTATCCCTGCCACCTAAACCTTCTACCCCAACCATGCAGGACCTGGGGAGAATTTGCAGCATGAGTTAAGATGTTCCAGCTCTGGTGACAAAGGTAATTGTGGTGGCTCTCTCAAGTTAGATCTGACATCCTGCTCCTTCTGCCCCTGGAGAAGATCAGGGTGCTAATCAGCTCTTATTCAGTGTTATTAGGAGAACTGCAAACAGCACACATTCACATCCCACATCTCATGCCAGTTAGTTTTGCATGCATTGAAGATGATTTCACTTAATACTAGTATGAAATAATTTATAATAGGATCTTAATTTTATGGGAAAGGAAACTGAGGCTCAGAGAGGTCACACATCTCAGAAGTGGCAGAGATGGGATTTGAATGACATGGTAGTAAGTGACATTTGAGAGTCCACTGGGCACCAGATATATCATTCCAGGTGCCCTGGATGTATCAACTCATTGAGTCCTCAAGCAATTAAGAAATAGGTTCTCTTTTGCTACTAGATAGCTGGGGAAATGCAGAGAGAAGTTGAAGTTACCTGGCTAGTGAAGGGCAGGTGTGGGATCTGAAGCCATGCTATCTAGTTTCAGAGGCCAAGTTCCTAAGTATGCCACACTGCCCCTCCATAATCTGATCACATATTACAGGGTATGGACAAGAAGCCCTGCCTCCCACTGTGGCTGAACAAATTGTGGTATCTATTGGCATCTATATGGTATGTATATGGGCATCTCACAAGGTTGTTGAGGCACAGTCTAAGGTATAAGTGATTAGAGGTTCTCTGATATCCCAGATATGGGTAAGGACTGCTTTGGTCTTTTAAAAAGCCAGAACCAGGAAACAAACCTCACCTTTATCTGTGGCTACTAACATCCAAAACCTTCTACATGCCAACCACTGGGCTAGGTATTCTCTGTGCTTTTCATTTAATTCTCACTTCTGGCAACCCAGCAAGACTAGATAGCAGAATCCCTATTTGCCAGATAGGAAACTGAGTTCCAAAGAGGTGCCAGAATTTCCCTCAAATAACACTGCTAATAAGTGTCTTAGCCAATATGTCTGACACCAAAGAACTATGTTTGCTCTACTTCACCAGGCATCTGAACCCCAAAAGGGAAGCCTACTTGGGCAAAAGTAATAAAATTTTCAATGGGACTAATAATGATAATGTTGGGAAAAAGGAATTTGGAAGATCAGTGATGTTTAGGGAAAACTGTGCATTCCCATTGAGCAAGCTCTGAGTCTAGGCCCTGGGTCCTGGATACAAAATTTGGACAGGCCTGAAAAGCAATTTTGCATTCTATTTAGAGTTAGAATAAGACAACAGGGACATTTTTTTTTTTTTTTTTTTTTTTTTTTTTTTTACGAATGGCACCTTATGACTTGGCCTGGGAGGAAAAGAGCTGCTTGGTCATAACCCTTAAGAAAAAAAAGTCCAGTGTAGAAACTACTCCTGTAGAGTTGGGACTATGGCATCTGACATTTATGTTCCCCACAGATGAGCCAACCTCAGTTCCTGCCATTGGGTGAGCAGAGGAAGAAGAGCCCCTGCAGGACAGGGGTGTACTGGCATGCCTGCCTCCCTCTGCCCACCCTGGGGGAGGGTTGGTGCAGCAGGAGCTCCCACCCTCAAAGCCCACTCAAGGCCAGAGCTTCCAAGAAGATGCTTTCTGTATTGGAAGAGGCAGGAGGAGCAAGCAGGTTCATCTAGGAGAATAAACAAAAAGACCTCCATCCCTCAATGCTGGCAAGAGCCAGAGCAAACAGCAAACATGCTAAACTGGTTTTTAAGGTGGTTTGGGAGGGAGTGCAGAAAGAGGGAAATGCAGTATTTCTAGACTACAGCGTCCAGGTCCCTGAGTGCTCTCTGAGTCTCTGCATGCCTGCAGCAGCTCAGCAGGCCTCCTGATAGAAAGGCAGCCTTCCAGGTACATATTTCAGTAGCCTGCCTAGGACTGTAGATGGTACCAACTGTGGTGACCTGGCCAGGGACAGGGTCCTGACCACCTCACTGTTTTGAAACCATCTAGCTACCTGGCTGTTCAGAGTTCCTTAACTTATCAGAATTTTGCTTTGCAGGAATTTCCTGGGGACAAATGGAAATCAATAACAGGAAACAGAAAGACCAGCCAGTCAGGGAGGTAAGTGACCTCTTAGGGATTTGGGATGAGTTAGTGCCTCTGAGGCTTCAATAGAAATTGCTAAGATCTTCATTCATTGTGCTTAGTTTCCTTTGAGGAAACTGGTCTGGTATCCACACCAAGAAATTGGTGCCAGAGATGTAATCCAGCCTGCCCCCCGACCCCCTGATAGCTGGATATAGAACCGATTGTGTGCTAGAACATTTTGGAATACAGAGGAGTCAGGTAGTATATTGTGAGGCATTATGCCCATTAGCTTAAAGGCCTGAGGCAGCCCTCACCATGTCCAAGGATATTTGGGACAAAACTGCTGAAAGAAATGTGAAGGCATAAATTGTGCCTGCCTTGCCATTGGCCGTGGGGCAGTTGAAACAGGCAGGGAGGAGGGAGGACTGTCTAGGTACTGTGGTGCCTTTGCCCCAGAGTTGTTTGGGGCACCTGTTTCTTGGGTTCTGCCACCTTTCTTTTAATGGGACTCATTGAAAACTTAAGGTCTGCTCATTAAAAGTCTGGGGCCTGATCATGTGGACTATAGGTTATAATTCCTGGAGGAAGACAGGGATATTTTTTATGAATGGTGCATGTGGTTTGGGATAAGGAGAAAAGAGCTGCTTTCCCTTAAGGAAAAAAATACCCAGTGTGGAAAGTCTACCACTGTAACATGGGGCTCATGGCACTGGGCACTCATGTTCCTTAGAGATGAGGTACCCTAAGTGACTGCCCTAAGTCACTATGAGATACAGAAAGCTGCCATCTCCTGGCTAAAGCTCTTTTAGGTAAAAATCTCACATATTCTTTCAGCCAGTTTTTTCTCAACTAAAATGATACAACGGGCACTTAAATTGTATTGATTCTTAACTTGAACTCCAAAATAAACAAGAGTACAAGCTGTGCTCTGTTCTCCAAGGTGAAGGTACCAAGAGAGAGGACTAGAATCTAAGGCTTCTGATCCCTGAAGAGTCTAGAGTTCATTCTAGGTGTCTGTATTATTCCCTGTGATTTGATGGCATGGTCAGGAATTATTTTGCTTTTTCTTTGACTGGGAAACCTGTTCATTTTCTGGTTGGCAATGGGAAATTGGGGAATCCAATATATGTGGATCATCTACTAAGCACAAAGCATTGGACTGAATCTTTTGACAACCATAGTTTCTTTTGTTGCCCATTTTGTAAGTGAGATCCAGAGAAAAGTCATATAACTTAGCTGAGGTTACAGAGCTAGCAAGTGATGGAACTAGATTTCGAACAAATGTTTGTATGGCCCCAAACTCATGCTTTTTTCCATTCTGCCTGCTTCATTTAGGACCCCTAAGAAAACCTTTCAAACATATCCCTGGTATCATGTCTCAGGGGTCTAGGTCTTGGGTGGGGATTCTATGGGATTTGGGGGGATACCCTTGATTCCCCAGCTCTAGGCTGACTTGTACCATGTCCTTGTGGAAATCACTTCAATCTAGCAAGCCTGCCAAGATTCCTATATTAGACTGAGACCCTTGAGAGGGAAGACCATGTCTTAGATATGGACATAACCACATTCTCCGTGTCTGACAATAATGCTAACATTTCTTAAATTCCGTTCTTTGTTCTAGGCGCCATTCAAAGCATTTTACCAGTATTTATCACTCTGACCTTATGGGGTAGGTACTTAGTAGTTTCTCCTTTTGACATAACAAAGTAAGTCCCACAGCTCATAAGTTGACTAGATCCAGTCAGTCTAGCTTCAGAGACACTATAGTGCATGACAGTAATTCTCTGAAATGGTTTTCTTGCTGCCTAGTGAAATGAAGTAAGAGGACTTTATTTAAAACCTGCCGTATGTACTGAATTTTGGTAGGCAAGGTGGGAAATACTAGTGAAAGAGCAGCAAGACACACAGGACCTGCTCACAGCTTCAGCAAGGAAGACCAATCCACTGAAAGTTCAACAGCAATGATAATAATATATTACCACTTGCAAAACGACCTATGTGCCATGAACTGAGTTACACATGTTATGTAATGTTTTATGTTCCCTACAATTCTTCCAGGTAGGTATTATTACAGTATGACAGCGAGCCCCAGACTTCAGACTATGAGACAGAAAACACCTGGGGAGTTTGATGAATGATGATGGGGAGTTGGGCTGGGGTTGTGACTTAGTGGTAGAGTGCTTGCTTAGCACATGTGAGACACTGGGTTTGATCCTCAGCACCACATGAAATAAATAAGTAAAGGTATTATGTCCATCTACAACTAAAAATATTTTTTTAAAAAAGAAAAACAGGGAGCTAGTTGGAAATCACCCTCAGGGAGTTTGATTCAGCAGGTGGGGAGTGAGGCTCAATATTTCCTTTTCTAACAAGCTCTCTGGGTGATGCTGATGCAGCTGGTCCTGGGATCACACTTTGAGAAATACTAACTCAGATGAAGAAGCTGAAGTTCAGGGAGGCTAAGTAATCTACTCAATGTCTCACAGGCAGGAAAGAGGCAAGCCCATACTTAAGCCCAGATTTTACTTACACAATTGACAGAAGATAAAGCCTTATAAAATACAGGGTTTCAACAAGATGCTCCTGGCACATGTTAAAGGGTCAGTACATGATAAGTATTATTGTGCCTTGTGTAAATTCACTGTAAGGCCAAGAAACTGAAGGTTGGGAACTACAGGATGAAAGGCCCATAGAGAATACTAAAGCAGAGTATGTTGGAAGAATCAACATCACTGGTTGAGTTTTGGCCTTCAGTTAGTCCTACCTGAGTTCAAATCCAAGTTCTTCTTGTGGCCTTGACAAGTGCCTCCCCTCCCCTCCCAGTCTCTTTTCTCCCTCCTTTCCTCCCTCCTTCTTCTTCTCTCTCTATATATCTCTTTCTCCCCTCATTTGCAAAATGGGGTAAGAGTATCTATAATCAAATGATTGTTGAGTCTTAAATGAGTTTATATATGTAAACTCTTGAGAACAAAACCTGGCACTTGAGACCCTCAGCAAGTTTTAGTTGTGATACTAAGGAGAAGGAAGAGGAACTTCAGCAGCAATAAGATAAGAAAGGTGACTAGTAAAGCCTTGGACCAGAAGGGGTAGGCCTTCAGAACTAGATAGGATCACAAACATGGGCGCAATTAAAGATCACCTATCAACAAATAGTGCTAAGATAGAGTTAGATAGGAGTAAGAAACTCTGGGGTACTATTGCACCATATGGTGATTACAGATAAACATAATGAATTGTGCATTTCAAGAAGCTACAAGAAAGGATTTGGAAGGTTTTCATTATAAAGAACTGATAAATGTTTAAGGAAATAGCTACGTTTAACATGATTTCAACAGTATGCAATGCGTATGTGCATCAAACATTGCATGGAGCACATTAATATGTACTTTTATGTTTTTATGTATCAGATTAAAAAATAAATTGAGAGACTGAGGCTGTAGCTCAGTGGTAGAGCACTTGCCTATCACACAAGAGGCCCTGGGTTTGATCCCCAGCACTAGAAAAAATTTAATGAATTAAAATTAATTAGAAGATCAACAATCAGGTAAGTGAGTTCATAAATGTGGTACCTTAGGGAACTTGGCAGTATTTGCAGCCTAGATGACTTGAAGTGAGACAAGTTGTGGCAGTGATACAGGCATGGAGGAGTGTGGCATGGCCTAGACTGGGGAAGTACAGATACAATAGAAACGGAGCAGAAGACATAGATAAATATGTGAGATATTTGGGGAGAAAAAGTTTGTTTTGATGAAAACAATATTACAGGAAATTAAAAACAGAAGAATAAGGAGACTTGTTCCTACCACCTTAGCACTCTGATTATTTTCATTTCCCTGCCTGCATCATCTATAGGTATGGAGATTATTTTTGGCATGGTTATAATAACTATGTAGATGTGCTTTCCTGTGTCCTGATTTCCCCGACCAAACTGCATTATGCAGTATGGCAAACAATTTTTCATGCTGCTATACAGACTCCCTCAATATTAGTGGCTATATAATATTTCACCAGCTTAATGTGTTCTAATTTGCTTAATCATTCCTAAATTGTTGGGTAATTAGGTTGTTTCCAATATCTTGCTATTATAATGTAATGCTGCAGAAACATTTTGAATAGCAATAGCCTTTTTCTCATTTTGAATTATCTCATTAAAAACAATTATCTGGAGTTGGGATTACTAGTTCAAAGAATATGAACATTCTTATAGTTCTTTGTAGATTTCACCAAATTGCTTTCCCCCGGAAGGGTTTTTACACTGCCATTAGCAATATATGAGGAAAAGTTTACCCTAAATTTTGCCATCATTGAAAATTTTCTTTTTATAATGCAATAGGTGTAAATGGTACCTATTACTATTTTAATTTACTTACTTTGATCATTCTACTTTGAACATTTTTCATGTGTTTAATATTAGTATTGCTTTTCCTGTGAATTGTCTGTTCAGATTACTTACTCACAAATGTGTAACATCTTTTGAGAGATAAATAGAGAAAAACTTGGTGACTAGAGCTTGGGAGGAAAGAGGAGATAAGTCCAAAATAACTCTGATCTTTGGTGACTTAGAGAAAGTTGCTAACATATATGGGGCAATCAAGAAATGGGAGCTAGTTTGGTGGGGAAAATAAGTTAGAAATGGCATATGTTGTAGTTGAAGTTAGTAAGATATACAAGTGAGTTCTTTTTTTTGGGGGGGGGTAGTCAGCAGGTAGGATGAGGGAGACAAGCCAGACAAGGAAACTGAAGGGTCAAGCAGTAGAAGTAGTAGAAAGAGAAATCTGTGAATGTACTATCATCATAGAACATAGAGATGACCATTAATAGTTTTGACAGTATGAAATCACAACTGATTTTCTTTAATTTTTTTTAAATTTTAATTTGTTATATATGACAACAGGATGCATTAAAATTCATATTACACATATAGAGCACAATTTTTCATATCTCTGGTTGTACACAAAGTAGAGTCACATCTTTCATGTCTTCATACATGTACTAAGGGTAATGATGACCATTGCATTTCACCCTCTTTCCTA